TGGTGGAATGGATGCAGGGCTTGAGGGCAGATTGGCAGCGTATTGTGTTCGGATAAGTAGAACGCTTCTCTGGACACACACGGCACTACTTTGGCTTCGATGCAAATTGCCTGCTTGACGAATCGCGTTCGTTGGTGTTGGCGAGTCAAGCCCTTGGCTCGCTCTTGCAATGTGACGTGAGCGGTTGTCACCTCAGTACTGAGCGGGGGTGTAAACGCTCTGGTACTTGGAAGGCTGAATTCTGCCTTCCCAGAACGACACGCGATCAGTAGCGTTGAGGTTCTGGTGATCGAAGGCAAGCGACATGATAACGTGTAAGCAGTAAACGTGCCTGATTGCAGGTCCTCGAGCACTCACCTTCTTGCTGGTGATTTGGAACACGCTGGATCCACCCTCGCGAGCAATGATGACGCTGCTTGCGAGGAAGTACAGCCAGATTCTCCAAAGCTTTTCGCCATACTTTGCCTTGATCTTCGCCTCGTTCGACTTCCAATTCTCGTACCATCTCAGGATCGTAGCGCTGTAATGCACACCCAAAACGTCTGCGGACTGCACCTCGAATCCGGCAGCTTCCAGCTTGTTGATGACCCAGCCGATGGCGCACGAAGCATCCGCACCCCTGAAGATGTACTTGTTCATGAACAATCCCCAGATCAGGTCCCAGTACTGCCAAGTAGGTCGAAGGCCCGCAACTTGCAACAAGAACGTCCCATCGTCATCCAGACGCTCGTGAATGTCCGCCAAGAACTTGGAGTAGTGTCTGATGCCTACGTGCTCTGCCATCTCCAGACTGACAATCTTGTTGTAGTAACCCTTTTCGACTGGAATGTCTCTGTAGTCCATGCATAGCACGCGAGCCTTGTCTGAAGAGAGTCCAGCTTTTGCGATCCTCTCGTTGCCGAACTTGGTCTGATTCTTGGCCAATGTCACTCCCGTCACATCGCAACCAAAGTTCTTGGCAGCAAAAGCAGTAAGCGTTCCCCAACCGCATCCAATGTCCAGGACCTTGTCGCTGGGCTGCAGCTGAAGCTTGTTGCAAACAGCTGCCATCTTGTTGTCCTGGAGTTCTTCCAGAGTCTCTTTGCGCCTGGGATCGCTGATCATACCGCTAGTGTAGATCATCTGAGGTCCCAAAAACCACTCGTAAAAGTCGTCGCCTCGGTCGTAGTGATCGCGCACTTGCTCCATATCTTGCTTCTCAGTGTGTCGGATGACATCTGGGACGAGTACAGTGAAGACGAATTTGAAGAGCTCGGGCGTAAAGTGCATGTGGGACCAATCCAGCCTGTGCTCCAATAGATCCAGCATATCACCCTTGATATCGATCTTGCCATCGAAGTAAGCATCGTGGAAAGGTTGCATCGGGATCTTGTTGCGTCCGTGATACTTGCGCTTCAGTTCGGCATCGTGAATGGTAATGTACTCCTCGACGGGTTTTCCAGGCAAGTTGACCTTTTCGTTTTTGCGAGGTCCGTAAATGCTCATAAAGGTCCAGTAGCCAATGGTCACGGGAGCTCCGATCACGATCACTAGAATCCAGTAGAGCCACCAGGGGACCCAGCTTGCCTTGAAGAAGGGGATCACTCGAAGAAGAATGGCCGGGGTGAAGAAGACGAGCAAGCCAAGGTGAAGGTTGTTAAAAGTGCCATTGCCTTCGGCCGGGAGCGGCGCGTTGGCGATGGTAGCCTAAGGAACGCAGGTGCGAGCAGGATAAGCGTAGGGCGCGACATCGACTACAACGCAAGACGAGTTACTGATGCCCATTCTTAGGCAGCAGCCTCGAGAAGCGGACACCGGAACACAAGGGCTTCCTAGATGAAGCGCTCAGGCATCACTTTTCTACGAACCGACAGCTTCGACTCACGTAGTCAGTCAAGCGCACTTTCCCTCCTGGAGCGTACCGAGTGTTTTGAGCACCAGAGGCCGCAGCCTCAAGAGGATTGAAGCCAGCACCCGCAGCGATGCTAGCTCTCTTTGGGTCCTTTCTGGGGATAGTTGGGCTTTGAGGTCCGGCACTGGTAGCAAAGGGGTTGGAAGTGGCGAGAGGACTGCCATTGGCTGCAGCAGCGCCCATTGAAGATCTAGCAGGCGTGGAAGGGTTGACGGGGGAGCCTAGCGATGCGGTGCTTGGCGAAGAAGGCGCGACTTGTTGAGCCAAGTGAGCTTCTTGAGCTTGTAATTGAGCTCTTTGATACGCCAGCGCGTCCAAAGCGGCTTGCTGAGTCTGCTCGCTCATGATGATGAGTCAGACTTCTGAAAGAGCAAGGAGAAGCGGAGCCCTGTCAAAGTCGATTCTGCACTGTCAAAAAAGAGGCATATGATCGATGGTGATGGGAGGAGATACGGCGAATCGCAGGGCTGTAGGAGACATCTTTTAGCTTCCTTCATCTCCACGTCTGTGCTGTGTCTTCCACCCTCGGGCAATTCGCGCGCGCCCCATTTTCAAACTTCTGACTTTGCATTGCTCCAGACCAAGTCTTGTATCTGCCCAAGTCCAAAATCAGAGTGTGGGTTACAAATTCACAACCACATTCAATCGTGATTATGCTTTCGAACTCAAGCCTGCTTAATGCGCGCTGGTATACCTGGCCGGCAGCAGCAGCAGCCATGCACCAATTTTTGAATGCACCGATGGTCGGAGGAAGAAAGCGCGAAGACTGGTCAGTTGGGTTCTTGACGGTGCACTCGTGACTGCTGCACGGCCGCAGTCTTGAGCTCAAATTGCAGTGCGCGCATCTCGCCGCCGCGTGCATAGATGGCAACCAATTATCGACGAGGATGCTGTGCCTCAAAGAAAGGGGCTAGACAGGAAGTAAGGCACGAAGAGACAGCAGAAAGGGACGCTTTCGCTTCTCCAACGAGCAAAGCGAAACCCTTTCGCACGCATAAGCTCCAGACATTACGAGCACGCCTGGTTCACAAGATGCGTCTGAAGCGTGGCAGATCTCGAGACTCTCACTGCAAGTTGCTATGTGATGCCATTTGAGCAAAGGTGATGACGACGAAAGTGTGATGGCTAAAGCGAGCGCGGCGTGTCATTGCTCGAAGCTTTTGGGGTGGATTAGTTGTTTGTAAAGGGTCCGTAAGGCTTGAGCTCAAAAGGATTTACGAGGATATGAAGGAGCAAAGGTTTGGGCGGTCGAGCCATAAACGATAGCGTAGGCTCCACTCCCAGAGAAGGCAAAATGCTACGCCTCGTGATCAGGCCGAGTCTTGTTCACATTCTCGTCCGTCGACCCAAACATCCTCTTGGCAGCGCTCAAAAGCGGTCTGCTTTCATCTTGCTCTTCTGCCGTACCTATCAAGGTCCCACTGGCTTTCTTTGCCTCTTCGGCCTGTGCCTCCCTCGCGGCTTGTTGCTTCGCCTCTTGTTCCGCTCTGATCCTAGCTACCTCTTCAGCAGCTGGCTGTTCCGCAATATCGCCCACCTCCAAAAGCGTGGTTCGACCGTCATCCACCTCCACGATATAAGAGCCATCAGGCAATCCGCTCGCGCGACTGCTGCTATTCCTGCGCGAGGCTTCGTTCGCTGCAGCCCCTGTCGAGCCGCTCACAGCAGGCGTCGACTTGCCGTTCGCCTGAGAAGAGTTGTCGGCCTCTGGAGCGTTTGGCCATGTCATCGTGCGAGTGAAAGCTTTGGACAGTCCCTCGACGATACCCGTTCCCCTGTCTGTAGATGATGCTCGCCTGGCTGCATCCAGTACCGCACCCTTGTTGCGTGGCGACCCAAACCCAGCTAATCCACTCGGCTGAGTGTATGATTCGCCGGCCTGGCTCGAGGTGGAGAAGGGACTGCCAGGTCGCTTGATAGCTACTTTGTTCACTCCAGTACCCGCCGACTTGAGCGGTGTTGCTCGCTTCATCATGCCTGACTTGCGTCGACGTTCAATTATGCCCTGCACCAAGCCTGCGTAGTTCGCCGAGGTGCCTTGTTGAGGTCGATTGCGAACGACCTGTCGCGGATAGCGCATGTCATTCAGCCTCGACGTCGCCATCGCTGGACGAAGCACTCGATGCTCACCTTGATCTTGTTGTGCACATCCACAAAGACGTCCGTCTCATCTACAATCTCCTCGCCAATGACCTCCTCAATGACATCCTCCAGTGTCACTATGCCCATAGCTCCGCGATTTTCTCCGGGGTTCGTCGACACCAAAATCATGTGACTTCGTCCTTGTTGGAAGTAGTTGAGCGTGTCGAGCAAGCTCAGGTCTGGGTTCGTCTCTGGCAGAGGTGTCAATTGGAACCAGCTCGCGGGCATTGCATCTTCTGGATCGTACGTGATCAGCCTTTTGACGAGTAGCATCCCAATAATGGCATCAGGTTTGCCAGGCTCGTGCACAGGCACTCTGGAGTAGCCTGATTGAACCAAGTGGTTGATGTTCTCTTCGTTCATAATCGTATCGGCACTCATCGTGTAGACATCCTCGATTGGTGTCATAACCGAGGAAACCGTCTTGTCGTTCAGCTCCAGCACTGATCGAATGATCGTCACTTCGTCCTCATTCAGTCCATCCGTGCCAATCTGTTGGTGGAGAGAGACGAACGTCTTTAATTCGGCCTTGCGGTAAGTCGTCCCGTGATCTTGGCCCAAAGCCCAGTCCAGCAGCTTGGCTGTGGGCCAGGCGACGGGAGCCATGATGATCATGGTGGCATGCACGAGCGGTGCGCAGTATGCGCCAATGGCCAAACCGTGCCTCGCGCAAATCGACTGAGGAACGATCTCGCCAAAGATGACGATCAGGAGCGTGGAGCTGGAGAGGGCTGAATGTTCAGTAAGCTAGATACGTCATTGGAGAGCTGTCGGCATGCACTCACACCAAGACTGCCGCCGTACCGCCAAAATCGGACAGGAAGATGGGCAGCGACTCATTCACTGCGTGTTGGTTGTGGAGGCGGGTCAGGGATTACACCTCGTTAGAAAGGCGCAAGCCGCAGGCATCACCTTTGGTAGGCGATCCTCACCAACAACGTTGCCCAGCAGGAGCACGACGAGGACCCAATGCCTTCCTTTTTCGAGCAGCTTGAGCACTTTTCTCGCATGGGCTTGCTCAGTCTCTGATCCGCTGGTGCTCAACACCTGCAGATTGACCATGTCCAGACCCATCAATCCGAGAGTCAAGCCTGCAAAGATACCACCCAGTATGACCAAGCCCTAGCGAGTCGGAAGGAATGCATTGTCAGCGCACTGTGCGAATGCGAACCGAGCCACCTTCCCGCTCACAGCGATGGAGACCATGTCAACTACGAGCTGAAAAGTGCTCTCTGGTACTTCTGGCTCGTGACCATGATGCAGAGTCCCAATCTCCTCCGCCCGACTCCATGCCGCAACGTCCGGCACAGGAAGGGGCAGAGCTCCAAGGTGTTGCGAGGCAAAGTTCAAGGGCGTCGCGAACGCTTTGGATAGGAGATGGGCTGCAAGTGTGGTGCTTAGCAGCAGCGCCTTGGCAACGGATGTCGATCGAGCTGATATGCTGCCAGATCCTAGCGTTGCTCCTCGGCCACGCGTCAATGGGCGAGCGGACGACATGGCGGCCTGAACAAGGGTGCGCTGAAGGGCGTCGATGAAGCTGAGATCAGCTTCCTTTTCTGCGTTTGGCGCAGACGAAATGAGTCGCAATGAGGTGTGGAGCAGGGAGATGCAAAAGATGGGGATGGGGACAACCACCGACTGACGTCAGCTCGTGGATGGGAGGGGATGGAGAAAGAGTTGCACGTTAGTGGCAGTGAGCGAATTTGATCTCAAGCTGCTGGGGCCGCTTTGAGCGCAGGTACTGGCTGTGGAGGATTTCAAGAATCGTGAATGATCGGGAAAACAACGCAGGAAAGGGGGGAAAGCCCAGCACCAGCACCAGCACCAGCACCAGCACC